GTATCGATGTTTAGACTGAGACTGAACACAATTCAATTTGCTTATATAGCAACTAATAAACTTTTTCGAAAAATCTAAAAGGTACGAGAGAGAACGAGTGAGTTACATTCGCTTTCATTGCTTTCGCCGGTGACTAATACTTCATCGACTTGACGGTGTGAATGTTCTAGAAGGACCGCTACATTATGAGAAAATGATTTCAGCATGATTGCATTCCACTTAGGCAGCGATTTTCATACTTTCATGTACAACGCCCATCACATATCAACAATACATTTCCTTTTTAACTGTCTGCGAACCTTACATCGCCTCCGTATGGATACTGAGGACGGTTAGCGGCGCCAATTACCGATACGAAGGCAGGAAGAAGAATACCCATCAGGATTACAAATAGGCAAAGAAGAAAATGGACCCTGAATGTTTATGATGGACTTTGTAATTATTATGCGATTTATATAATTCAGACCTTTGATTTGATTAAAGTATACAATCTACCAAGCACATACAGGGTGACAATTTGAAAACTTACCACTCCCCATATCTTAGTAAATAAACTAGATATTTAAAAAAATCAAAATCCATTTCGGTAATTCGGAGGGGGAATCACAATGACATAGTTGACGACGCACCCCCTCCAACCCCCTGCGCCCCAGCCACCTCAACTTTTAAATCTTAAATAGTGACCCCCCATGTGTGATACGTCGTTGGAAAGCTCTGAAAAAATGCTTTCCAACCATACCAAATAGCATTACATTTAGGTTAGTAATTATCGTACAAATCAAAAAATAAACTAATGTGATACATTTTCTAAAGTTGGCTTTTATTTCAATAAATGTTCAAAATGGTTTCCGTTCTTGGTAAGGCAGTATTACTATGCGATTAAAAATGAGTTGCTGTGGAGTCGCCCTTTGAAATTTTTGTTTACATCTAAAATCGTATTTAACTTGAACTTCCAAAGCCGACTCGACAGCAACTCATTTTTTATTGTCAGTTATAATCTATTCTCTAAACTCTTGTCGAACCTTTTCAAATGTTGGTTTTGCAATATTTCGACATTCTTGAATTATTCTCGAGATTATTCTCTGTCTTAGTTCGTCTATGTTCGCCGTTTGCGTTTGAAATACGACAGATTTCAAATGTATCATATTAGTTTATTTTTTGATTTGCACGATAATTACTAACCTAAATGTAATGCTATTTATTTGTATGGTTGGAAAGCATTTTTTCAGAGCTTTCCAACGACGTATCACACATGGGGGGTCACTATTTAAGATTTAAAAGTTGGGGTGGCTGGGCGCAGGGGGTGTGAGGGGGTGCGTCGCCAACTATGTCATTGTGATTCCCCCTCCCAATTACCGAAACGGATTTTGATTTTAAATATCTCGTTTATTTACTAAGATATGGGGGGGTGGTAAGTTTTCAAATTGTCACCCTGTAGACGAACTAAGACAAGAATAATTAAAGAATGTCAAAATTGCAAAAACCAACATTTGAAAAGGTTCGACAAGAGTTTGAGAATAGATAACTGGCGGATCAAAAATGAGTTGCTGTCGAGTCGGCTTTGGAAGTTCAAGTTAAATACGATTTTCCATGTAAACAAAAATTTCAAAGGGCGACTCGACAGCAACTCATTTTTGATCGCATAGTAATACTGTCTTACCAATAACGGAAAACATTTTGAACATTTATTGAAATAAAAGCCAACTTTAGAAAATGTATCACATTAGTTTATTTTTTGATTTGCACGATAATTACTAACCTAAATGTAATGCTATTTGGTATGGTTGGAAAGCATTTTTTCAGAGCTTTCCAACGACGTATCACACATGGGGGGGTCACTATTTAAGATTTAAAAGTTGGGGTGGCTGGGGCGCAGGGGGTTGGAGGGGGTGCGTCGCCAACTATGTCATTGTGACTCCCCCTCCGAATTACTGAAACGGATTTTGATTTTTTTAAATATCTCGTTTATTTACTAAGATATGGGGGGTGGTAAGTTTTCAAATTGTCACCCTGTATATTGCATTTATTATATACGTTTATTAGCAGTACATTTATCGACGAATTTAATACGAATAATGCGTAGATATTACTACGTATTCCGTATGCGAAATTTAAACGTATTCAGTAAACGCATATAAATCGTATATAAATGCGAATAATAAAAACAATAATATTCTACAAGAATATAGCAATATCCGCCGGACATTTATGCGTACTATATACTAGTATATGATTACGTTTTTTAAACGTAGAGTTTTAGTCTACTATAAACGCGTTATATACGGAACTATGTTGCTTGGGTAGATACAACGTAAAAGGTAATCCAAAATAGAAAACGATGAAAACTTAAGACAAAAGCTTGAGGAAACTGAGGGAAGGTAAAGGAACTATGAAGAAAGATAAAGGGGGACGTAAGGGAAGATGAAGCTAAAAATACATATTAAGAAAAATGCTGAATCGTAACGGTACATACCTCGTACTGATTAAATTCAAATACAAATCCGTAAAACACTGCAATGGAGTACAGCCACGGACATAAAAAAGAGCAAGATAAACCAATTCAAACAATATGGTGAAAGCCAAAATTATTAAGCCTTTATCCAGCTATAAAAAAGTCCGTAGAAAAGTAATGACGTACCGAAGAAAGTTAATTTGCATGTAACCAATATGACGACAGAATCTTCACTGGAAAGGAACGAAATCGTAAGCAGAAAGAAAAAAGGGATCGCGTTATGTGTAGAAAGGTACAAAGCGTGAACTCTAGCGACAAGAGAATGGGGTAAAATTAAAAGAAACCTATAACACTCGGATGGCCTCTAGCAGCAAAACAAAGAACTAAGGTAACAATTCTACTACAGGAATAACTTACATCTTTAAACAAATTTAATTTAAATTGGTAAAAAAAAACCTCATCTTTACCGAGTTAACAATGGTGACCATGACTCAGGAGCAATTCCTCTCCAATGACAAAAAATACAGCACGTCTTATTAGTTTACTTATTGAGAAGCTTGAAGGTGAAGGTGTCTCGGTAAAGCAATCTAATGAGACACACACTACCCGATTGTTGCCACGGCCTTTGAGATATTACAGGAGCACGAGAAAGTGGTGGTAGTTGGCTAGGATTCGGACATCCATATCATACTGAATGCCTTGGCCACACCACCAGCAAATATATATTTTTCCCAGCGTTTATAGGAAACGACGACATCAAAAGTATTTGGTCCCAACAACTTCAAACTGGCAGCAAACATCAGAAGGCCACTCATATTTCTTTCGTCCGCTTTTTTATTAGCGTTTTAAACATTTTTACTTAGATAATATCCATGCGCGTTTTTTTGAACTTGGGGGTTGGGGAGGGGAGGGTGCAGTAGACAACTGTCGTCGGTTTCGAAGGCTTATCTTTGGAGAATTGAACCGAACGAGAAGTACCTGAGCCATAGTACCTCATCCAGTACGTTCATAGGAAAGCACTGTAGGGTAAATTTAATTATGCGATTTGTTTATTTACAATTAACTAACAATAAACAAAAAAAGTCTTAAAATGGATTAAATTATAACAGTATTATTATTTATCACTCACAATTTATAACATATAACATGAGCTTAATATTTCAATTCGCACGATGTTACAACTGACCAAAACACGTCATGTTTCCCGGAAAGACTGCGGGTCGCGGGCTAATCTCGTTTCTTATCGCCGATGAGTAATCTTTTATGGCGCCTCGACGTCTATGAATTCGCTTTAGTACTTACTTTATGACGACCAGGATGACGACGGAGTGGATGCTCCATAGGTAACGTCAGTATCTAATGATTATTGCCCTTTTTACGTGGGTTTTAGAGAGCATATCTAGACTCTATTTCCATGATAAGATTTCGGCGTGCACTGACTCGCGGTCATACTAATTATGTGTGCATTTGTTTTGCAACTAGAAGTCGTAGGCTGAATCGGAGCACGGTAGTTTTTCGTATGTCGGGAATCGGGGCAATTAACAAAAAAGGGTTTATAAGGTTCAGTTTGGTAGAATTCAAGGGATTACATTAGGAGTAGTTTAAAAAAAAGGACTGTAAACTTGAAAATCACGAATAATACCTGTTATTATATCAGTGTTGTCACACTTCATGTAAATTTCTCCTAATCATTTATATTTTAAACCCCAAACAAGTATAAAGCTACTTTTTTTTATTATTGTTTTGCGTGAACAGATACCAAGCTTGGTGGTGTCCAGACGTGAATAAACAAACACTGTAAATGAAAAATGTTGCCGTTTGTTTTACGCATTTATAACAGATAAATGTGTTCCCAAGCGTACCACAACGAGTTTCTTCCAACGATATGTATCATACTTCTACCAAAATGTATATTAGGTTGGTAATCATTATTTGTTCTGCGACAGATCCGTGAATACACTATAATTATGCGCTTTAGATTGCTTGCTTTGTTAATTGTGAATTTTTCATTTTCCATCCAAACACTGTAATTTTAATTAATAAAAAGTTCCGATTACAATGAAGCTTTTTAAAGGTTAACGAGTCTTTTAGGAAATTCATTTGCACTTTTGATCTTTCGCGGCGGATGAACACATTCATTGAGTGAAGACAGACGAACATCGAATATTGAAGAACTCTTAGTTAAACGACACCAGCAGAAACTCAATAAGTTAACCTAATAAAAGTTAAGATTTTCTGGAAGTTTTCGGAAACATCACCCTTTAGGAGAAAAAAAATTTTAAATTACTGTGGCTGAGCGCAAAATTAATATAAATAAATGTTGTGAGTTTTATTATGTTTAAGCTTTTTAGATTAATTTATTTTCTTGACTTTTGTTCATTAACATCACTAATTTTCTTTGTTGAACTTTTGAGCTAAGGAATCCACCCAACTCTTCAACCCACCCAGATCAATACTTAAAGCAAAGAATACTTAATAATACTCTTTGCTTAAAGTATAGTATATGTTAATTAACGAAATGTAATATTGCATTAAGTTCGAAACTGACCTTTCTTTTGGATTTGGCGATTCGTTGATCTCTCGAATTTTCCGCTTCACCTGGTATTCGATGACACCAAATTACGATTGCGATGCTTGTGTACGTAAAGAGCAGCACGGAGAACGGAATGATATATTGTAGAAACATGATGGTAACGGTGTAGATGTTTTCATATTCGGGCCCAACGTGAGACCAATTCTCGTGACACAAGTATCTGAAATAAAAAGAAATGTAATAACGTCGTGCTTTAATACAGCGCCATTAAGGGCAGAATGCGATGTTTTATTTCTTTGTTTTAATCTTATAAATGTGTCTGTACGCGAAAAAACATTCTGTTTAGATTCATTTCTTACAACGTCTGTAAGATTAAGAGTGACCGGTAGTTTCCAAGTCTATTAGTTGAAAGAATTTCCTATAAGAAGAATGAGTTTCTCGATTGTTGGCTCAATTGTGTCTCTCATTCGGATCTCTCCATTTCCAACTTTTATCCATTTAACGCGTTCGTTATATCTTTATATTTTCATTCGAATTTGATTCGAATTGGTTACATTATTAAAACCTCGTAAAACTTTTATACAAGAAACCCAGACTATTTCACTTCTAACCTACTTACTATACACTTCGCGAAATCCTGCCCAGGGATACCCACTACTCAGTCCCTCCAGAACGAGAACAAAATAGTATATAGTATACCAGACGACTACAGGGCAAAGGGTGCACGTTGGTCTTAAAGTCCCGTGCTATTCGTTGTACTCCGGTCGTACAAACAAATACGCTTATACCACAGGACTACGCAGTGCGCCCTACTGCCTCTGAATTAAAATATACACTTTATACCCTATTAGTATTTTGTTCTGCAGCGGCTAAATTTACGTAGAAGCCACACATTAATAAACGACCTTGATGAAATGGGAAGGTATTCAAAGATCTCGATGAAGAGACAACCTCCCACATCAAAACAATCCACAGCTAGCCGTGGTATTCATTATTTCATTGCAAAAATTAATAATTGTTACAGTGACATTTTTACCAGTGCCGTAGAGAACAAAATTTATATTCTACAAGACGGGGTTTCAAACCCCTAACTAAGTCGTTACACAGCAAATTATGTTATAGAGGGAATGTATTTTTTAGAGTTTGTTTCTTAAATGTTATGTAGCTGCATATAAAATTGTTTATTTTTGACCAAGTAGAGACAATCATTTTAAAGCACCAATCCGATATCTGGTAAATTATTGGTACGGCTCGAGTAGAGAATATAATTAGGAAAAGTTTTAGTCAAAAAATTAATGGTAGATCATTTTTAGACCGAAGTAAAAGCCGCCATTCTTTGACTCAATAAAATAAACAATTTTCAAAAGTGTTTTGTAGGACCCACAACTGACACATTTGGGTGCCGATTAGAATTAATCAGCCCATTCTAACGAAATTACGAATTATCTTCAATGCACAGTGCACAAGCTTTCAGGCGTTCCAAAACGTGTTTGCTGATCTGAATTAGTCCTTGGTTAAATTAAAATAATGAAATGTTTATACAAGGTGTCTCAAATGTAATGTCCAACGCTGTATATTACCAATAGCAGTGGTACAAGGTGAGTCGCAACGATTGCGCGGAGTAACTTAATGCCTTGAAGATAAGATTTTTCGATAGAGTGCTTTTGTATTATGATATGGTTGAATATTCTCCCCATTTTAAAAATATTTTGAATTATACGGGGTGCGCCCACAAAGTAGGGCGCCCAAATGGTACATTTTTTAAATTTTTTTATTATATGGTTAATATCCGAAAAGCTAGTAGTTTTAAAGATAATTCGATTTTTAAGAAAAATTGGGCATTTGCAAGCGTCAGTATATTGTCAAAATTATTACTTAAATTTTGATTCCAGGTTTTATATCTTATCATCATTTAGCTCCTCCAAAAACCTTCAACTTTTGATAATAATGTCCTATACCTATCTCTGATAGTTTTCGAAATATCTTGGTTTTCCTGGGTTTTATATTCTAATCTTAAATAAGTTATATGTAATTTACATAATAGTGAAGTGGACATGCAATAAAAGGCAATTTTTATCTATCTCGTCCAAATCGAAAATCATATCGATTAATTTATTTTTCCAACCGTTTATTTTAAGTCCAAAAACTGGAGAATAAGTAAAAACAATTGACTCCAAAGCAAATTTAATTTAACTCCTAATGTCATCCAGTCAGTGATATTAGTTTAATTTTTTTTTCATATTCACCTCGTTATTATGTAAATTAGAACTTATTTGAGATTAAAATATAACTATCAGAGATATGTATAGGACATTATTATCAAAAGTTGACGGTTTTTGGAGGAGCTAAAAGATGACAGAAAAATATACAGGGTGTCCCATTTAAAAAAAAAAGTGAGATTTGTTAATAAGAAGTTTTGTAACTTTGGATCTAGAAAAAAAACACCCTGAAGCCATTTTTTTAAATGTTTTATAGTAGATGTATTTATTTGACTTTTACTTATAGTCTATGGGCCAACTGGCTAAATTTAAGGAAATGGTATAATTTGGGGGTACCAATTTTCCTTTTTACCACGGTTAGACACATATATTAGGAAGTAAAAAAACCATGATTGCCATCTCAATGTGGTAGCTAATAGAAATGGCGGCCAATCCAAGATGGCGGATGTTGAGTTTTATAAAATCAACTATATCTCTAGAGCTATTGGTCCGATTTCATCATTTTCTTAAATGAATAAGCTTTTGTGTGTGCTACAATATTGTCATAACTACCTTTTTCGATAAAATCAACAATTAGTAACTAATGCATGAAGTAAACGAGTTGAATTTTTTTAACTCTTAACATTTAATGAAAACTAAATCAACCCCTTCGTTACTTTCAAAAGTTTCATATACACTAAAACCTGCTACTTCTTCCTCTTCTTCAATGACGTTTTCACAAGTTGGCAGTTTGCATGCGCTTGTGCACTTTAAGTTATTAGCATTACATAATGGTAGTTGCCAAGAGCCAGCTTGGTAATTCTACGTGAGGCGATCTGGAAGCCAAACTTAGGGTTATCTTTCATATTTTTGCTGTTTCCGGAATAGCATCTCTTTGATTTTGACGTACAATTTTCCAATGTATTTTTTGTTTTCACATAATGTATGTCCAATTATCTGGCACAATATACACCTTCCCATCAATATTAACAAACTCTTCGCTGACGTTATGGTTAAAAGCCGTATTTGATCGTATTTATTGCAAGACAGTCAGTCTTGTCAGTTGTAAAGTTCTTGTTTAAAGTTAAGCGGAAACGTGTTTCACGTTTTTGCTGTGTTTATCGAGCAGGCGTTGCTTATCTGAAGCATTTCTTTAAGGTTTTCCCAGTACTCGTTAAAGGGAGTTTTTTCACCATTAAAGAGCCTTCACAGTGTACAACAGGTTATCCGATGTATCTGCTAGTTTAGTAAGACGGTGACAATTCTTGTAATGCAACGTTGTATAACACTGCCTAAGATTGCCTGTATTTTGAAGAGTGCAATTCACTAAAAGGCGAAATCTCTCCACATATGATACATATATTTTTGCATATTTTCACCATCTTCTTGATGTTTGGAAGCACTTATTTTATTTTAATTTTAATTCAATTTGTTGATCAGCTAAAGCTGTGAATACTTATATGCAAAATGAATATCGTTTATTTTTGGTTGTACTTCTTCTGAGATTTTGTGTATTTTCGGTTTGCAACATTTGCGATTAAACAGAATTTATTTTTGCATATTTTAGGATGTATTTAAATTTTTGTTAGAGATAATCGATTTTAATTTGAATTTTTAGTACATTTTTGCGGATTTTTATAACGGACGCGATCATGAAACATACTGCAATAGCTGGAAGGAAGATTTATTGATTTAATTGATGTTTAATCTCATCATTTCCAAACTATTTTATCTTTCTCTTTCTCTACCGTGTTGATGGGTGATATTGTGGAAGGTTTGGAAATTGTTCCCAATAGTTTGTCGTTTTCTAATGCACCTATTATTTGCTGATGTAGAGAGAAGTTTCTCTGCTTAGTGCTTATAAATTAATTCTTAGCGACATAAGGCAATCATTTCGTGCAGAAAACATCTTATTGTTAGTGTTTATCGTAATTCCATTTTTATTAGAAATTATGCAACATATAATAATTTTGCATATGTGTGCATATACATCAAAATTGTTTGCATATTTTTCACTCTCACTCATTCTGCATATATATATACAGGGTGTTTTTTTGGGAGCTTTAGTTAAAAGTTTCTGGGAAAGTAAAATAGGTAGGTTTTTGAAAATGTGTACTTAGGAGTTACTCTGAAGGCCGAATCGATGTAAAATATTTTCAAAATGGCCGCACTTCCGGAAACACCGGAAGTAGATAGTAACTTCGTTATTTTAAATGGCAACCCCTATTTTTTATTGCATTTTTGGATTCTACGTGAAATTTCAGTTCTTTTGATACCCATATGTCATATCTGCCATTTATGGTTTTTAAGTTATTTTGACTAAGAAAAAAAAATGGCGGATGCAGATGGTACCTTGATAATTGATTACTTGAAAAAGGTTATAGTCATGGCAACCCATTTTTATCAGTGCATAGAGAATGAATAGGGCTTTCTTTTACTGTACTTAAAACAAAGTTAAGTTGCGTACAACCGCACCTATGGAGATCCAAATTTAAGAAACTTCAAAGTCTATAAACTCAGTTTTTTTAAATGGAATGACCATGTTCTTAATATTGCATGAGATAGAGAATCGAAATTGGCATATTTTGATATTACATGTTCCTATAGCTATCTTTAACAGTTTCTGATTTATTCCCATTTCATTGAATTGATCTCGGAATTGATGCCATTTTTTTTTCGCATTTTCTTTTTAGTAGTTGGCCATGATTTTATAACAATCGAATTTTAAACAAATCAAGGAATGGATTCTTTAATACCACTGATTCTAGTTATTCTAGTCTAAATAATTCATTAATAAATAACTCATTTAATAAGGATATAGGACAGAAAATTTTTGAAAAATCTAAACAGAGTCGTTCAACTGAATTTCTTAAACAACGTATAAGTCTGGAAATTAAGAGAGGTAATGCGATATCTGTTCTAGCAACAATTCCATACCAAAAATGTTTCAACAAAGTTTTTTATATTTTGCATTGAATTTATTTTGTTAATCTTGCATTTGCAAATCAATTCATTTTCTTAA